TGGCTGGGTCACTCTGTCTTCTCCTTTACACTCTGGGGAAGAAGAGAACATGCAGAGGAAGAGATGGATCAATAAAGATGATTGATTAAAGGAGAACAATCAGTAGGTTTAAAGAGTTACCTAGCCAGAGAGTCAGAATCAGGATGTTTCTCAGCCAGTGGTTCATGTCTGCAGTGAGAGGGGAGGAGAGAGAGGAAGAACATTGATACTCTGATGGATCTGGGCCTTCACATCATTGGCCCTTCCTCTTCATCATCTGTTGAGGAACTCTCAACATTTACATCTCAGCTGTTTAGCTGATGCTCTTATCCAGAGCAGCTCATAATGAGGAGCTTTAACATGTGAACTTTCTGTTACAACAAAGTCTCTTTAACCACTTTTCACCCTGGAATAGTTAATTCATCAACATGGGTCTGTAATCATTTTAGTTTGTCTCATCATCAGTGATACCAAAGCATTCTGTGTAGAAGAAGACTTCCTTGTGGAGTGCCTTACTGTACAGAAATTGCCTCAATTAAACACCATGATCTGGATTAACTGTGTTTTATGAATAACAGGAGTAATATTGTAATGTGTCATTAGATTGTGTTGTCAGTGTCCACTTGGTGGCGCTGCTGTTCAGTAAAAGGAGGAGCTGCAGTGAGTAAATCTTCAGAGGAGCTGTCAGGTTTTTGTACAGAGTTTTGGTGTTTCCTGTCACTGTGGGCCTCACAGCACAGTAGTACACAGCAGAGTCTGTCACTGCAGCAGAGGAGATCTGCAGATCCAGATGGGTTTTATCATCACTCACTTTAACAGACCATCTAGAGCTTGTTGCATTTTGTGTTCCCAAGTGAAAGATGAGAAACTCTGGTGGTTTTCCTGGATGCTGTAGATACCAGAAGAATCGATCTTGACCATCAGCTTTTTTAGAGTATGTGTAGGACAGAGTAACAGAGCTGCCTTCTAAAGTGAACTCTTCATTCCTGACTGCAGTGAGTTCTTCACAGCTGACACCTGAAGGAAGAGATAACTCTGTTATTTCATGTTGTAAAAGACTCAACAAATGAATCCCATCCAGAAAAGTTAGTAATGAAACTTTCTCAGCAGGATCTCACATACCTGTTAGAATGGATAGTAACAGTAGAGAAAGTACATAATAGTCCAATGACAGCATGTTGAATAAAGGGAATGTTTCTGCTTTGTGTATTGAACTCTGCTGAATATGGAAGTTCCTCTCTCTTCTATAGTTCACTAACAGCTTAGCTCCTCCCTCAATCTCTCCGTCTCCTCGCAGCTCTGGATTTTCACTTCTCTCTGTTCCACTTCCTACCTTACCAGTAAATTCTACAGGATGTGAAAGTTTTTGCTTTATTTTCTGTAAATGAGACGTAGGTAACACTTTATTTTAAGGTGCTTGTAATAGGCAGTCATTAACAGTTAATAAGACACTTATAAGACCTTATAGGATGCTTATAAGACAATAGAAGTGTTAATTAAAGCCTAATAAACTATTAATTGATTAATTATTGCTTATAAGACAATTATAGGCCTTTATTAGAGCTATAAGTTATATATACCTCATGAATGCGAGATTGGACATCACATTGTAATTTGCACTCCTAATACAGCTACCCTTTATACTTCAGTACATTTCTTATTTTCTTAGACAACTAAGATGGTTTGTGAAGGTTTTATCTTGTTCCTGTCGACTTTAAATGTGTATTTTATGACGATAAAATGACAGTTAATTTGAATAGAGTCTGGTGGGTTTGGCGATTTCAGGGATGTTTCATGTTAAAACCAAACGGATCTTACTCTTTAACAAAAGCTTGACCTCAGCTGGGATCCTTTCCATAATGTTGTCAGACACTAAGAATAATTATCTGAGCGTGTCAGTGGCAAAACAAGCACGTTATGGATGGAAACTGAAGGTGTGCAGCGGCATATTAATGTTACATTGTAGCTTGTTTCACGCTGCCACTGCAGCCATCTATTGGACCAATTTCCAATGTCCAGGTTGAGAGAAAACACCCTAAGACATTATTCAAGCTGCTCTAAAAATCCAAGTGCTAAAGTTAGCTTACACGACATGCCTTATTTTATAGCTGCATGCTAATGTTAGCTTACACGACATGCCTTATTTTATAGCTGCATGCTAATGTTAGCTTAAACTACATGCCTTATTTTAAACTACATGCCTTATTTTAAACTACATGCCTTATTTTATAGCTGCATGCTAATGTTAGCTTAAACTACATGCCTTATTTTATATCTGCGTGCTAATGTTAGCTTAAACTACATGCCTTATTTTATAGCTGCATGCTAACATTAGCTTAAACTACATGCCTTATTTTATAGCTGCATACTAACATTAGCTTAAACTACATGCCTTATTTTATAGCTGCATGCTAAGGTTAGCTTAAACTACATGCCTTATTTTATAGCTGCATGCTAAGGTTAGCTTAAACTACATGCCTTATTTCATAGCTGCATGCTAAAGTTAGCTTAAACTACACGCCTTATTTTATAGCTGCATGCTAACAGTAGCTTAAACTACATGCCTTATTTTATAGCTGCATGCTAAAGTTAGCTTAAACTACACGCCTTATTTCATAGCTGCATGCTAACAGTAGCTTAAACTACATGCCTTATTTTAAACTACATGCCTTATTTTATAGCTGCATGCTAAAGTTAGCTTAAAGTACATGCCTTATTTTATAGCTGCATGCTAATGTTAGCTTAAACTACATGCCTTATTTTATATCTGCGTGCTAATGTTAGCTTAAACTACATGCCTTATTTTATAGCTGCATGCTAATGTTAGCTTAAACTACATGCCTTGTTTTATAGCTGCATGCTAAAGTTAGCTTAAACTACATGCCTTATTTTATAGCTGCATGCTAAAGTTATCTTAAACTACATGCCTTATTTTATAGCTGCATGCTAAAGTTAGCTTAAACTACATGCCTTATTTTATGTAGTTTAAGTTAGCTTAAACTACATGCCTTTTTTAAACTACATGCCTTATTTTATGTAGTTTAAGTTAGCTTAAACTACATGCCTTTTTTAAACTACATGTCTTATTTTATAGCTGCATGCTAAAGTTAGCTTAAACTACATGCCTTATTTTATAGCTGCATGCTAAAGTTATCTTAAACTACATGCCTTATTTTATAGCTGCATGCTAAAGTTAGCTTAAACTACATGCCTTATTTTATAGCTGCATGCTAAAGTTATCTTAAACTACATGCCTTATTTTATAGCTGCATGCTAAAGTTAGCTTAAACTACATGCCTTATTTTAAACTACATGCCTTATTTTATAGCTGCATGCTAAAGTTAGCTTAAAGTACATGCCTTATTTTATAGCTGCATGCTAAAGTTATCTTAAACTACATGCCTTATTTTATAGCTGCATGCTAAAGTTAGCTTAAACTACATGCCTTATTTTATAGCTGCATGCTAAAGTTATCTTAAACTACATGCCTTATTTTATAGCTGCATGCTAAAGTTAGCTTAAACTACATGCCTTATTTTAAACTACATGCCTTATTTTATAGCTGCATGCTAAAGTTAGCTTAAAGTACATGCCTTATTTTATAGCTGCATGCTAATGTTAGCTTAAACTATATGCCTTATTTCATAGCTGCATGCTAAAGTTAGCTTAAATGACATGCCTTATTTTATAGCTGCATGCTAATGTTAGCTTAATCTACATGCCTTATTTTAATCTACATGCCTTATTTTAAACTACATACCTTATTTTATAGCTGCATGCTAATGTTAGCTTATACTACATGCCTTATTTTATAGCTGCATGCTAATGTTAGCTTAAACTACATACCTTATTTTAAACTACATGCCTTATTTATAGCTGCATGCTAATGTTAGCTTAATCTACATGCCTTATTTGAATCTACATGCCTTATTTTAAACTACATGCCTTATTTTATAACTGCATGCTAATGTTAGCTTAAACTACATGCCTTATTTTAATCTACATGCCTTATTTTAAACTACATACCTTATTTTATAGCTGCATGCTAAAGTTAGCTTATACTACATGCCTTTTTTTATGGCTGCATGCTAACGTTAGCTTAAACTACATGCCTTATTTTAAACTACATGCCTTATTTTATAGCTGCATGCTAATGTTAGCTTAAACTACATGCCTTATTTTGAACTACATACCTTATTTTAAACTACATGCCTTATTTTAATCTACATGCCTTATTTCATAGCTGCATGCTAATGTTAGCTTAAACTACATGCCTTATTTTAATCTACATGCCTTATTTTAAACTACATACCTTATTTTATAGCTGCATGCTAATGTTAGCTTATACTACATGCTTTATTTTATAGCTGCATGCTAATGTTAGCTTAAACTACATACCTTATTTTAAACTACATGCCTTATTTTATAGCTGCATGCTAATGTTAGCTTAATCTACATGCCTTATTTGAATCTACATGCCTTATTTTAAACTACATGCCTTATTTTATAACTGCATGCTAATGTTAGCTTAAACTACATGCCTTATTTTAATCTACATGCCTTATTTTATAGCTGCATGCTAATGTTAGCTTAAACTACATACCTTATTTTAAACTACATGCCTTATTTTATAGCTGCATGCTAAAGTTAGCTTATACTACATGCCTTTTTTTATGGCTGCATGCTAACGTTAGCTTAAACTACATGCCTTATTTTAAACTACATGCCTTATTTTATAGCTGCATGCTAATGTTAGCTTAAACTACATACCTTATTTTAAACTACATGCCTTATTTTATAGCTGCATGCTAATGTTAGCTTAATCTACATGCCTTATTTTAATCTACATGCCTTATTTTAATCTACATGCCTTATTTTAAACTACATACCTTATTTTATAGCTGCATGCCTTATTTTAATCTACATGCCTTATTTCATAGCTGCATGCTAATGTTAGCTTAATCTACATGCCTTATTTTAATCTACATGCCTTATTTTAAACTACATGCCTTATTTTAATCTACATGCCTTATTTTAAACTACATACCTTATTTTATAGCTGCATGCTAAAGTTAGCTTGAACTACATGCCTTATTTTATAGCTGCATGCTAATGTTAGCTTAAACTACATACCTTATTTTAAACTACATGCCTTATTTTATAGCTGCATGCTAATGTTAGCTTAAACTACATGCCTTATTTTAAACTACATACCTTATTTTAATCTACATGCCTTATTTCATAGCTGCATGCTAATGTTAGCTTAAACTACATGCCTTATTTTAATCTACATGCCTTATTTTATAGCTGCATGCTAAAGTTAGCTTAAACGACATGCCTTTTTTTATGGCTGCATGCTAACGTTAGCTTAAACTACATGTCTTATTTTAAACTACATGCCTTATTTTATAGCTGCATGCTAATGTTAGCTTAAACTACATACCTTATTTTATAGCTGCATGCTAACGTTAGCTTAAACTACATGCCTTATTTTAATCTACATGCCTTATTTCATAGCTGCATGCTAATGTTAGCTTAAACTACATGCCTTATTTTAATCTACATGCCTTATTTTAAACTACATACCTTATTTTAATCTACATGCCTTATTTTAAACTACATGCCTTATTTTAATCTACATGCCTTATTTTAAACTACATGCCTTATTTTATAGCTGCATGCTAATGTTAGCTTAAACTACATGCCTTATTTTATAGCTGCATGCCTTATTTTAATCTACATGCCTTATTTCATAGCTGCATGCTAATGTTAGCTTAATCTACATGCCTTATTTTAATCTACATGCCTTATTTTAAACTACATACCTTATTTTATAGCTGCATGCCTTATTTTAATCTACATGCCTTATTTCATAGCTGCATGCTAATGTTAGCTTAATCTACATGCCTTATTTTAATCTACATGCCTTATTTAAACTACATACCTTATTTTATAACTGTATGCTAATGTTAGCTTAAACTACATGCCTTATTTTAATTTACATGCCTTATTTTAAA